TCGCAGTTTTGAATCCACTGCATCTTTAAGCCTCTACAGGATGATGCGGCCTAATATTTTACTTGGGGTGGACAGGAGAATGATTCCGCGTCAGTTCTTGCAAACACTGAGGTCTCCTTTCTTCGGCAGTTTGACAAGGTAACCCTTCTTTCAATCACTAGCCAGGTACCTTCTCTTCCTTCCACACCTTCTGCAATAGTGGTGTGAGCATATCCGCTGTTGTCTCTGCATCTGTTCTCAGTGCTTCTGGCGGTATTCCATCTGGTCCTGCTGCTTTCCCGCATTTCAGTAGCTTTATGGCGTTCAGGAATTCCACTTTTGTTGGAGGATTTATGTTCGCTTGTAATTCAGCGGCTGCAGGTGGTATTTCTGGACGAAGTGCAGGTGGTGGTCGATTCAAGAGCTTCTTGAAGTGGTCGGCCCATCGTTTCCTCTGTTTCTCTTCTTTTGTATTTAAATTTCCTTCTTCATCTTTTATTAGTTTCATCTGTGTTGGTCTCTTCCCTGATAGCAACCTGGTTATTTGATACAATGTCGTCAGGTCTCTCTTACCTGCAGCCTGTTCTGCTTCACTTGCCAGTGTTTCGTAGAAGTGTCTTTTGTCTTTGCGTGCACACTTCTTCACTTCTTTGTCCAGTGTTTTATACATTGTGCTCAGTCCCTCTTGTCGTTGAGCATCCTTGCACTGGTTTATCTTCTGCTTCACCATCCTCCTCTCCCTCCTCTATCAACTTCCGTGTATCCGTCGAGATCCATTCCTTGTCTTCTTTCTTCTTCCTTCCTAATACTGTTGTGCAGGTTTCTTTCCGCATAGCTTTCAAAGACTTCCAATGTTCTTCACACAGGTTTCTTCAGGGATGTTGCTCGATATCTGCCATTTTGTCTTGATGGCTAACTGACGTGAAGATCTCCTTTGTAGTTTAATCCTTCAGTTTCTGTTCCGAGTGTTGTACTTGAGTTGAGGTCTATCACCAGCTTCCTTGAAGGCTTTTAACTTGATTTGGAAGGTTCCTTGCACTAGACAGTGAGTGGTGTGAACCCACATCTGCTCCTCTTCTTCACCTTGTGTTAAGTAGGCTGACTGCGTCTCCATTTTCTTGACATTGAGATAAAGTCGATTTGATTTTTAGTATGTCCTGTTGTCTGGTGAAATCCATGTCGCTTTGTGGATATCCTTGTTCTTGAACACACTGCCTCCAATCACCAAATCGTTGAATGCGCAGAATTCTGCAAACAATTCTCCATTCTCATTCATTTCACCTAGCGCCTCTTGACCCATGGTTAGTTCTCTTCCCGTGTTGTCCCCTTCCAGTTTGGCATTCATGTCTCCCCACCCATTAGAATTTTGATATCGCCAACTGACGTCTTGTCCAGTGTTGATTGAAGTTGTCTGTAGAAATCCTCCTTCTTCTCTTGCTCTGCATTATTTGTAGGTGCATAGAGTAGCATTGTATGATTGTGACCTTCCTTCCTTCCTTTTGAGTTGAATCGTGCTGTCATGATCCTGGAGGAGATTGGTTCCCACTGCATGAGAGCCTTCGATGCTCTTGAGGACATCAGTGTGCTCGTGGTTGTCGTCTGGGTGACAATATCGGAGTAGATTATTGATTCTCCAGTTGACAGTTTGGAGAGTCCACTCCCATTCCATCTGCTTTCGCAAATCCCAAGCACTTCGATGTGATACCTTCTCATCTCCTTTGCAATCTGGGCTGCCTTACTGGGTTCAAACAGGGTGCGGACATTCCATCCATGTCCCCACGTTTACTTTCGCTTTCATTGAGCGAGAGAAGACACATCGGCCAATTGGCTTCTCGAAGGCAGGCTTTCACCAACTGGCGTCATTTCGCCTCTCCGATTCCAGCGGGGAATAAGTTTGTTTTCATTTTTTATATTTTGTTTGTGCTTTGAAGTTTGTTTAGCGGTTAGATTTGTTTTACGGGGTAGGGTTGCTAGCCCTATGCCCAACCTTCCCTCTTTATCCGGTCGGGCTTATGACCGGCTAGTAACTAGTAAACTAGTTAACCATGCGAGGTTGCAGCAACTCAATAACACACCAAAATTAGTTGCGTACAGACCCGATGCGAAAAGGCGAGAACACTGCAGTACAACTGCTTCAAAGAGAAACGATATCTATTCTAAAGAAGGATCTTTATCCATAAAAGTTTATCAGAAAATGCTTATCCCGTCTATCATCAAGTTAGCATACGGATCATCTTACCGTACATAAATAATATGTCAGAGATCACGACCAATGCACATGGGCAATTACGGACATGAATTTAATTTTGAAAATGTAGAAATCTTGAGGAAGCACAAAGAATATCAAAAAATTCCTCAAAGCTTATTATTCAAGCCAGTCAGTGCTCAACAAAGAAACGCATAAACATAGACCCAACTTGTTTATCAATAAGAAAAATGATAAACAAGAAGGTCAGAGGTCATACAGAGAAACAGCGAGCAGGAAAATCAATTCAGTCAATGACACAACAATATAAGGAAGCAACCAGTCATAAACCACTTCATCAGAGCAAGTTCCCATAGCCCTCATGGAGAGGTATTGAGAGCTCACTTGGTGTTAAAGTTAGTGCTGATGAAGTTGCCTGGAAAGATAATGGAAGCTTCACGATTAAACCATCCAGATTAGAAAACATAACATAACTATGAAATATCTCTTTAGCATCTAGTTGTAGATCCTGCGTCATAAAGGAACTTATTTCTTGTAATGGAATTGAAGCAAATGGAAAAGCTTATTATCCTCTTTCGTTTCTTATTATCATGACATTCAAGTTGGAAATTTCGTTTCATATTTCATACTTCCTTCTTCTTCTTCTTTTCATTTGTTAAGCTGATACCTAACTGTAATATTTCGCAGCTACAGAGCACATACTTGTTATTAAATCCTATATTTTTCCTGTTATTTGCAACACCACTTTTGCACATACATTACTTATCGTAAAATTTATAAACTATGAATTGAGTTACGTGGAATCGAGTTAACGAATAAATGTCAAGTTTCACAGGATTGTGGATACACTTCACGGGTGATTGAACGAGCATGAAATCCTGATCAAACAAGGTTTCTTTCTGATTACTTATTAATATCCAACAGTTAAATGTCTTTTATTGACATAAGATGAATAGCACGTTAAGTGTAAAAATTATGTAAATTACACAGTAGGTGTGCAAACTGTCAATATGAACATTTCAGTTGATATGTTTTGAAGTATGGTCGCTTCAAGTCGACGTTTAGTCATTTTCAATTGAATAAAAGTCGTACAGAGGATACCTTTGTTTTATATAACAGCTACCATCCTAATTCAAGATGAACCTTTGAAGTGGAAGTTGATGTTAACACTTCCGTTTATGATGTGAAAGTAGTTACGAAGACTAATAGAAACGTGAGGAATTTAATGTTTATAAAACACATGGGACAATCACTTGTCAAGTTTGTACAGATGGGTGTCCACTAGACAAAAGGGAACCTTATCTTTATCTAGCTACTATAGTCCGATGAATTTCCAGCTCTACCAGTCTGGAACGCAAAGTAACTTTTCAAAAGTAATGCTGAGCAAAAATAGTTATCCACTATAATTCATAGATGGGAATATCAAGCCTAAAACCTCAAGTATATGAACCCACTTCAAAGAGTGTGTGGATGAACTAAGATTCAAAGCCGCTTGATGCATGCGATAAAATTATAAATCGAAAGGTGTCAAAATACCCCAGAACAATTTTATCAGTTCATCGTTTCTTTTCCAAAATCTTGAAGGGAATACTATGTCATTTACTGACCTCTGTATGTGTAAATCAGTTCGCATTTTCTTGTAGAAATAGATATACTGATAGTTTTTTGAGCATACCATGAAAAAAATTGGGAAACACTATATTCTCTTGTTAAGAAGAGACCGTAACATACCTTTTAGAAGTACAGTAATATAGCACTTCATCAACAATGACTATTCAATATCGACCTGATCTTCCTTCTAATTTGACTACTACATGAAAGTAACTTACCGAAGATATTACATGTTTAGCTCCTTCTTGTCGCCTGAGCCTACGCTAACAAGTTGTGCAATCTTAAGCTGTGTGTGTCAAGAAGACTTACTCAGACTATTTAACTATTGGCTTAAACACCCCCTCCTTGGCCTTTTCTGACCTTCTGTGTATTATGATATATACCCCTGTTTTTATATTCAACATCATAACTATTCAACCTTTGAAAATTTTTGTTGTTTCACCATTTTTATCCAACATAAGATTATGTTTATCAAATTCCGTCTGCATTTTTGATTGAAATCGACTACTTTTTACAGTATTGGTATTTTTGAGTTGTGATATAGTATTTTTGGTTACCACATATTTGATGTAAACATTTTTGGAAACAATGAACGCGCCGAATATACTCATAGTAAAGAATTTTATGTCATTAAAACTGTACTGTTTTGAGAATTTAAATGACGAGAAAATCTTCGTCTTGAGGTATTTCAGTTGCCTGTCTTGATGCAAAGTTTTCGTGACTATTTTGAACCAACTGTTGGTCGCTTACAGGAAGTTTCCTTTTTTCACATGAAAGCTTGCCTACTTTTCGATAAATATAAGTTTCTTAGCTGTGTAAGCAGTTGGATTAGTTCTGTTCACCTTTCTTGAGGAAGACAACAACGTTTAGGATATAATTTACAATGAGCTCAAACTATTAACAATAAACAAAAATGGTAGTGTCCATGGACTTCTCGCAGGTAATTTATAACTGACTGCAACTTGTAAACCTTCCACATCTGCCCAGGGAATATTCATATTTCATTACTATGTTTAGATAAAACCTTATTTGTTAAATATTTAAACTAACATGTTGAGCAATCTGTGTGATGATTGGAGTAAAACGGTAACTCTTGTATTGGCCAATCAGTTAGCCAGTCAGTTAGGATCAACCTTTCATTGGTCAAGCTTCTTCATCTATACACTATAAAATTCATAACTGAGTACAATGCGGAAATTGATGATGAACATGTACATGTGAAAGAGCACCTGAAATCGAATATTAGAAATTTATAACACATTTTTCTTTCAACAATTCAGTACTTAATAAAATTATAATACATGCGTCCTCACAGTAACACAGCGAATAAAGTGCCCGGTTTACAGTTACACAGAGTTATACGATTAGGTGATAAGTATGACAGTCAAGTACTCACATTCATTGTACCATCTCAACTCACCAGAGGATTTTTACAAAGTGTTCAGTCTAGGGACTTTTATTATGGAGGTCATCGATGGTTTATACGTATGGAGTATTATAAAGAACCAAATGAACACGGTATTGGAAAAGAAGATTCACATTTTGTGCAATACCGTAAACAACCACTGGGTGTTTCGATTCACTTATGCAGTGTTTCAAGTGGAATGACATGTAGGCTGAAAAGCGTTAAATTCACAATTCCACATCAAGAATTTTATACCCAAAACCTAGTTCAAGAATTAGAAGATATACAATTTAGATGTTCCAATATATCTCATAAAATATCTACATGGATTGAAAGCGGTCTGCTTACAAATGAACGTTATCTATTTGACGATTCTACTTGTATACTGGAAGTGGAACTTCAAGATGTTCTGACTACTTATGAAGAACAATTGCGTGTGCCTAGGGATTCCAAAGAAGCGGTTCGATGTAAGTCACTTGAATCAACAACATTCTCATTCGCTGGAGATGATTGGAGCCTAATCATAGATTGGAGTATCTCACCAGATAAATCACGAATGCAGCATAAAGATGACAGTAGACCAAGGTTATTTATTCAAAGGCACAGCTCTCCAAAACATTGGACACGTTTAAGATACGGGTTTGTGGTCAACTGGCATGATTCAGGAACATCCACCTTAGGACCATTTGACCAATTAATTAATCCAGAAAGTGGAGCTAAAACAAAATCCTTGCCTTTTGGTGAGACAAAGTGGTTTTCTAATAGTCCTTCACCTGTGATTACCTCGAAGCACAGAATAAGTGTAAAATTGACTTTTACTCTGTGGTTCACATTAGCCGAGTAGATCTGATACCAACAGCCCCTCAAGGGGGTAGAAACTGTGCACGAGTTGAAGATCCCAACGGTGTAGATTGGATTATAATGAGTGATATTTTAGGAACATATATACGCCTTAAATTGTTCCTCCCAAATGAATCTAGTGTCAAATATAACGATAGTGAATCAAACATGGAAGTGAGATCAACTGCTTGGTCAGTACAGTTGATACCATACGACACATCATTAAATATCGTCAAGTCCATGAGTCCATTTTATGTTATCTACACACCGGCTAGCACCAGTGGGCAAACGACAGTGCCATTGAATTCAAAATCCCCCTGTCAAGAGGTCGTACTCCCTTTAGACGTTGAAAAAGTAAGTTGAAGTTTTATGTATTCATTATAGAAATTTTATGAGTGGTTTCAAATAAACAATGCTTATTGGCTACTCAAATTCCAATTTTTCACATCCAAACATGGCAAACCATAATCACATACTTAGCTCCCTAAATAGACTCCATTTCTATAATAAAAAAATTTCAGTTTCAAAATTTCGTGATAAACAACTTAGAAAAACGCAGCCATAAGTGACGAAGTATTATTTCAAGCGCATTATTATTAAGAGTTACCCAAAAGCGGGACTAATTTTGGCCCTCTTCGAAATATATATACAACAATTCTCTACCGATACATACCACCAGTATTCATTGTGGAAGAAGAACATTCTTAGAACAATGCAATGGTTCTGCAAATTCGCATCAGATAACCATTTAAAAACTATAATTTTTCGGTTAACCGAACATAATGTTTTTATTCATTTTACTGCCCTAGTTCAATGCCACTATTCCAGCGAATAATTTCAAGATAGTATCCATTAAACAATGACATGACTGTAGTGATTCAATTCTCGAAAGTTTCAATACCTTAACATGCAGAACTGATACAGTATATAGGTTGCACATATCAAGTTGCAAGGAAAAGCTCGAAATATCTGTACATCATGGTTAGCTTAATGGGATCTCCCTTATGTAATCAGATACTGAGAAGTGAGATATATGGAAAACAGAGTATCATGAACATGTGGGTTGGTCATGAGACAGGTGATGTTCAAATCAAAACAGTAATTAGTAATGAATAAACTACAACCAATTCAGTGAATAAAAACATTATGAAACATGAATACTGACGTGCACCTATAAAACAATAAGAACTAACAATGTCACTGTGTAGATCCTAAAGCAATCAGATCAGTTCTGAATATTACTAACCGAATAAGATTCAATGCCACACGGAACTCTAACCCAACGCAAATAAAATTCCTATGTCTAAGGTTCAAGTCATCTGAAGGCAATGAAAACGAACTTCATTTAGTGCGTTATTTAAAAGTTGTTAGAAGACTGAAGTTGAGGCATTCGTTAGCTTCATTTGTACATCAGCTTTTCTTTTTGGTGTAGCAAACATACGCTTAGTACTATTCAGGGGATGATTTTTCGAGGACAAATTTTTCCGCTTACTAATATTATTTATAAGTACAAAAGTCTGTTTGAAACTTCATTCATTGAATAGTAGTGTACCACTGATTGGTTGATTAAATAAGAGCACTTATCATGGAGTGTACATCTCCCCAATATCTAGCTTTTACTTTTCTATTCTATGTGCCTTGGTATTTGGCTGCTAGTTTTCCGTAACCGTTTGACATGTTAGAAGCTTTGGTGAGTTGTCACGTGGGTTGTGTACTTTGGGTGGAGTCCGTCAACGATGTCCACTATCTCCATTATTACTCAACACTATCAGACACGCCTTTATGGAGGCCTGGCTTTTGTCGTCTGACTTCACAGGGATTGACCTAGTTAAAGGAGAATCCTTGGTAGGCCAAGAGTCCCCAAATGATAGTCTTGTTAGGTGAAGACGGTTACAAGATTCAGAATCTTCCTAACATCTTGACTGGTAACTTTTTTGCCACCTAAGTACACACTGCTACGAAAGACTGGTCTTCAGACATATCAACTGTCCATTCAGGTTTGATTGTACTTCACTTTAGTTCACTGGGTTCTACTGTGCGGATATGAAACATGGCCAACAAAGGTAGAGGAAATGAGAAGTCTTCTAGTGTTTGACCAACGTTGATTTCGTAGCATAGGTGGTGTGCCATGGTGTCACATATCGTTAACGCAGAAGTCAAGTATAGAGTTTCGAGGAAGAGAGGAAAGTCCGTTGATGAGGTTGTCAGGAAGATGTAGACTTCCTGTTTTGTGTCTGTGCGATGACAGAAACCGGTGGTTGGAGATTCTACGTGATATAATCCATATCAGTAACGCAGATGTCTTCACACATTATATTCATACTGATCATCAAACTAAAATCAGCACTTTCTTATTCCTTTTTCCTTTTTTAATGCTTTCTACTGCTTTTAACCGATTCTTTTCTATTTTTATATCTGTCATCCTATCACTTTGTTGCTTGATGGGCTGATATGGGTTGTGATATCTTAGACCATTTTGCAATGATGCCTAATCTTGTGTTAATGATGATGATAATGTTCCAGTGACTGTACGAAATAGATGCTGGCGAAGCGATTTTGTAGAAAAACACTTGGTGGCAACTACCTTCTACATTGCAATACACAGAAATTTTAGATCATCACAACGACACTGTTAAGTGGGACATGCGAAGTGTCTCATAGACGAGAACATCATGTTATCTTAAATATAACTAAGACTGTAGAATAAAAATGAACTCATAGATGGACACTTCGGTTTAGTGAACTAAATATGGTCAGCACACCTTGACGTTTGCTGATGCAAACGAAAAAAGACCATTTGGTATTTAGGTCACTCTGATCTTCCTAACACAGTCTGAAGACAGGTTTGTGTTTCGTTTCTAACTATTCATCTTATTCACTAGTACGCAATAGGCTTCAACAAAAATTTTCTCTAATCGTATTACAGTTCCTTTCATTTGGATAAATATCCGATTTAGTACAAGAGTGGTTTGACAGTCTGAATTTAAGAACACTAAGTAACTATAACACAGTGACGCAATACTGTGATTCAAGCTCACGTTAGACACTTGAAGAACTGAATCTCATCTTCGGACTTGGAAATATATTTTTCTAGAGTTATTTTTAAAGCAAACCTGGACTTAGTCAACAATTCTTGACACTAGCAATAATCGCAACTTAACAAACTATTCATATCTGAAAGGCGTTTTATGATGCCAGTTTTTGTTTCATCTGATATGCTGGGTAGTAATTTATTAGATTTCCTTTAGCGAGATTTATGTTGACTACTATGTAGTCCCAACTGCACGCATTTGATAGACAAACGCAAAGTTAATGTATAGCTGGCTGTGGTGACTTATAAAATCACTCGTTTTGAAACTGTCCACTATCCGTGTTTTCTTGAGGATTTCGATAACTTCACCGTTCTTCAATTCATCAGTCATAGCTGTCATATTATGAAATGATTCACACAAACTGACGTTTTGGATGGTTGTTCATGACGCAAACATAGCTATCAAATGAAACTATGATAGTTTGAAGTGTTGCCAGTTATTCAGTCAAGCAAAAATAGGCTACTTCATAAACGTATTCGTTTAAGACTCATCTCCAACAAACTGAAGGGAAAGTAGTTGCTAGAGTTTACTCCAGGAAAGTTTTCGCTAAGTTTCAACGTCAACTGGTAATTCATTGAAATTGTTGAATTGTTGTTTTATCGTAGTTGGAGAATCTTCGTCAGTCCACAACCACTGCCCTCTCTAAGCTTTAGGCGAGAAAACTCATCTCTGGCGGTCAATAGGTTAACTGAGTTCGGTGATGCATAAAGCCTTTGCTGTGCACTACCAAAAGGACCGAAGCTGGAATGTAACATCTGATCGCTACAGGTGATATGAATCTACCTGCAGTTCTTGAAAAAGTGAACCACTTCTAGGTTTTGTAGATATTTAAGAAATGTGCTATTGACCATGCTAGTTTATGTTTGGAAGTAAACAAAAACCACCTTAGCAGGTATGGCAATGTCAACTTTACTTCAGTCATCAAAACTTTTTTAGAGTTTCTACTAGAATAGATGATCCATGACTGTCCATTCATCTTCAGACCGGCTGCCCAGACATATACTTGACGGTATGAGAATTGAGATGAATTGGAAAAGGAAAAATCAAAATCGGCTGTTTAATGAAACCCTTGAATATTCCTGAATACCCACATTTTCTCAGTGAGGTTATGTTTAGAGTTAAAATGAAAACTTGAATTACAGTTAGTGAATCTGGAACATGATAATTGCTTGGGTAGTATTTCTTTCATTGCACTTTTAAGCTGATTATCCTGAGACCAACTGTTCGGATTCTGCTACTTTCAGTTCAGTTTATTTTATTAAATCCTTACATTACTACACTTTAGATATTGTTGTGCTAGTTCATATTACAGTTTCAATTAAAAATTAGTTAGGTAAAGGTTCAAAGATGCCAGTAAATAAATAACCGGCTCTTTGTCCCTTCTATTTACTTGCTTCCGCATGTACATATAAATTAATATATGCAACTGGAGTTACTGAGATTCAAGAACTGTTCTAATTTGAACTTCACAACTGAACAGTTGGATACTACTTGACAGCTAAGGCACCCCGATAAGTCCTGGATAGAGCATACCTATTACGTCTGTTTATTCTCCCTGAAAACGTCATTACCAGTGAATTTCAGTAAGCGGAAAACCGGTTTCTTTTGTATAGTGTTTTACCTTTTTCCTCTGTAACAAATTTTTCACAAATATCATCAAACAACCATTGTTGTTAAGACATTGTTCAATCAGCTTTAGATTGTTTCTAGCCTCAGGTAGTTCAGGAAAAACGTTATTTTGCCAAACTAAGATTCCTGTTCTATGAAAAACAAATTTATAGCTTGCATTTTTTTATGTTCTACATAGATGCAACCTTCTGTTATCGTTATGCTGGGTAACAAAGCATGTTTACTGAGACTTAGTTTACGCCCATTTTAGTCTAAATATAAAATCACTAGTGTGTATTTCATCAACATTTGGAATGAGTATAACGTTCATAAATTAAATGTTGGTGGAATTAACAAAGCAAATTATTCAACGTGACTATTAAGATGGAGATAATAAACAACCTAGGCTTTTAATTAAGTCTCGAAACCTACTGCATTCCTCTGTTTATCATCCCACTTTTTATGCAGGTTTATGAAACAATTCCGTAAGGTAGAAAAATGCTGTTAAACTATGATGAGCTGAAATGTTGTATATTGATTCTCGCGAGTTTCTTGCGAGTTTTTTCTCTTATAATAATATTTTTGATTTCATCTAAAGTTATACATTAAATGGTTTCTCGTATATTTTTTAACTACTGTGTACTAAACTTTTCA